AGGTCAACTGGGGTTCTAGGAGACAGAAGCAGAGATACAAAAAGCAACTGTAAATCAGCTCCACAGGTGGCCCCGTCCAGGAGAAAAACAGCCAGGCAGATGAGCTCTGAGCCAGTTCCCATGTCCGGATGCTGTTGATGGAAGCAGCACAGCTGGTATTTTTCTCCAGGATGGTGTCATGGCCAAACAGGAACAGACTAGGTGAAGCTACTATGAGAAAAAGCAGAAAGAGCATAGCATTAGAGATTGAACTTCTGCAGAGTGGGAGAAATAGAATGAAGCAGAATGATGAAATAGGGGTCCCCATGTCCTCCAGCAGTCTAAGCCTATAGCAGCATAACTATAGCGATAGCTCAGGATAACCTGAGCCCCTCTAACTATAAGCTTTATACATAACTTCCAACCTGATTAAAACAAAAAAAATTGTGGAAAATTATTTTTGAATAGAATGACTAACACTTTTAATTTTGCTCATCAATGCCCAATTTGCACAAGCACTTTCACCATCTGCTTAAGCTTATTTCATTAAAATGACAGAAGAGAACAATTGTTTAAGTTACACTGTTTAAAACATTTTACACACAAAAAAAAAAAAAACTTAGAAAAGGTTTTATTATACACACCAATTATTAACTTAAATGGGAAAAAAAATAAAATCATATTCTATTACCAACTGTAGTTCTGCACTCCACCAGTAGGTGGCGACATGTTCACATGAAGCTTCATGAACTGTGAGGATCATTGAAGCAATTAGTCCAAAACGGTTCAATGAGGCTTCATCTCACCACACTGCAAAAACGAACTAAAAATAAGTAAAAACGTCTTAAATTAAGTGTATTTATCCTTATTCTAAGTAGGTAAATGAGATAGTTTGCCAATGGAATGAGTATTTTTACTCTTAAAATAAGATAATTAGAGAATATGCACTTGAAATAAGACAATGCAATTGTGTTTTCTTATTTTAAGTGTAAATTGTCTTGTTCCATTGGCAAAATGTCTCTTATACCTCCTCAATTCAAGAACAAATGCACTTATTTTAAGAAAAAAAATACTTATCTAGATTTTGATTTTTTTCCAGTGCATCACTAGAGATTTGATTTAGAGGAAAGGTGTATTACAGTGAAAAGAAGTGAAAAACAAACTAGAACACTCAGCTAAAACCAACCTCGCTGCTTTTTGAATAGACCGACGTGAAAAGCATAAAATGATGAGCTTGAGTGATCAGAGCTCCCCACTGACACAGTGTGTTATAATTCAAGAGGTCTTCAGGAAGCCCCAGTATTAAGGAACAAAAATATACAAATAGGGAAGAGGTTACAAAATATTTGTAGACAGGCTTAATGGGACGTCATTTAATCAGCTGATAGGATAAAGCTGTTTTTGGGTTGAGAAGCCAAAGATTACTGCATTCCAGCCAGTCTACGTTCATATCTGCCCTGGAAATGGGTGATTCAGTAGCATCTGGCATCATGGTGATGCATCACCAAACATGCTGATTCTGAGAGCAAACTTGATAGAGATGAACTGTAGAAGTTTTTCCAAACAAAGCCTGATGTACATGGTTCCAGAAGTTGGTTACGCCGGTCACGGTTGGGTGGAGATTTTGAGGGCCCAAATGCAGAGGTGAGGAGGCAGAGGTTAATTTTGTAGATTTAATGAATTACCAAAGTACAAAAACCAAAGTACAAAAATACAAGGAACCAAAAACCAGAAAACTTCATGGGAAAACTCACGCTGGGAGCCAGGAAAAGACGAGGAACCAGCCCTGAGGAACTGCACAGGGAGAGTATATATAGGAGACAGAACAAAGACTGGACTAATGAGCTGATTGGGAGCAGGTGTGAACGGAAGCAACTAGAAGGAAGCCAAAGGGAAAGGAAACAAACACAAAGGGGGGAACAGAGAGTAACTCAAGAACAAAACACTGTATTTATAGTTGTTTTCAAGCAAAGAAACTAAAAATAAACAGAGGGCAGAATCCTGAAAACCGCCTTTTATTACAGACCCATAATAAAATGTTTGGATTAGAAGTTTGAAAAGAAAACCTGAAAACGGCAGCTCGATGCAATCAGCTGGTTTTTCTTATTAGAAACTTTAAACCATTCTGACTGTAATGTCTCTGCAAGGTGCCTTGATTTGACATGCAATGTGATTTGGCACTATATAAAAAACTGAATTGAGTTTTACTCACCTTTTAAACACATTTCTCTAAAACGACATACAATTATTTACACTACGGAGGTTTTAAAACCAATTTGTCTGTATACTGTAAACAAATATATATTTTGATTTACTAAATCCATCTATTATCTTTCCAGTATTGATTAATTTTCCACAGTGACTCTATGATCATCTATACCCTATGACTGTAATTTTGTTCCATTATTGGTCCAAGCAAAGATCATGTTTTTGCATATGTAAATAATAAAAAAATGCAATCCGCAAATGAAACTTGCGTACTTTTGCTATTTTCTTCTACCTTTTTTCATTATTAAAATTTTATTTTTTGACATTAATATTTTATTCTTACAGATTTTATATTTTCAAAATGTTTTCCAATTTCTGTTTTTCAGAATGAGATTTTCAAATCACATTAGGTTATTGCTAATGTACATGTAGACTAGACCGATAGAAATGCAACTCCGCACCAAAGAGGAAACCCTCAGAAATGAAGAAAACATGATCTGCAAAAGTAATTTGAAATGGACATTTGTAAAACTAAACTAAACAGAAAATAAAATGAAAATTTGATAATAAAGCTGTAAAAGATTAAAATCTATGATTTTTTTTTTTTATTATCAAATTCACTCTCAAAAAAGGAAGTTTTTAAAATGTTTATATTTCGACTGCATCTTTGTTTGGTTTTTTAACAATTTTTTACAAAACGTGTCCTTTGCTTGCAACAATCATGACAAAAAAATCAATCACTCATTACACCCTGGCAGAAAGAGAGAGTACCCACCCCACATATGCACAGACTCCAGCTGGGGTGATGGTCTCTTAAGGAGCATTCAAAGTGAACATGGTGTGGGAGCGATGGCCGTAGATAACCCTAAATGCTTCCGTCTCCTAGAACCCCAGTGAGCCTCAGCAGATGGCTGCTTCTTCCTGTAAAAAGAGTTTTTCCTCTCCACTGTCGCTACAAGCATGCTTAGCGTGAGGGATTGTCTTTGAGTCAATGAGTCGATGCAATCAACTGGTTTTCCTTAGATAGAAAACTTTGAATCAATTTGGCTGTATGATCTGGTGAACTGGAAAGTCCCTGGAGATGACACGTTTTGTGAATTGGCGCTATATAAATAAACTGAATTTAATTTAATTAACTCTGCAGAGTTTGAATATATACAACTTAAAACTAACTTCACCACAGTCAGAGAATTTCCAGTTTACTTTCTCCCGAAACACACATTGCACATAAGAAGGGCTTTAGAGAGCTAAAAAGTGCTACTGTTCACACCTGTCCATTCAAGTCTGAACCAGTTCAAGCACAAGCTGCAGCACAAAAAGCCATGTTCTAAACCAGAAAATTCATATTTGACATATCTGACATTGCAAACCACTGAATATCAAACACCAGAAAGGCTAAGATGCCTTTGTAATATTTCCACTACGTTTTGATGTAGTGGGAAGTTTTGACTCAGAATGATTCAGGACAAAGGTGTAACTTTGTGATGAAAGTTGGTGGGGACACTTTAAGGGTGGGTGCTGATGGACCTACAGTTACTCGACTATTTTCAAAAACTGAGCTCAAATATATATATATTGAATGCTTTCCTATTGTTTAGAACACAAAAGAACAAAAATACACTGATATTTATATTTATGGGTAGTTAGACATTAATATATTGAAGGAAAAAAAAAGGATGAATAACAGCCGATTTCGATACCAACAGCAATATATCACGCCTCCCTAGTATGCACACAATTTCAGTTTCATTCATCCATCCAGAAAAATGTGGATTGATTGATGGATGTTTTCCCTTTCAGCTACATCAGTGATTATCCTCCTTTAAAAGCGGGAAAATCAAATTGTCCCACATATTGTTGAGAGCCAAAGTCTATGTATTGAAATTATTGGTGGGGACATGTCCACAGCAGGCCTTCAGAAAGTTACACCTGTGATTCAGGATCTGAAATACAGTCCAGCTAGATTTAAAACCATTTTTTAAGATATATCTAACACTTCTTGAGGTATCTAAAATGGAATTTTGACTAGTTAAAAATACATTTCTAAATATCTACATGGATTCATCTAATCATTTGCTTTCAAGATATCTTCAATATAATTCCCACTCATCAAATCCTGCTTTAAGATATCTTAAAATACATTGAAGATATCTTGAATAACAAGGTAATTGAGAGATTTAATTGGATTTACAGTCAGCCGGAATAAAGGGAGAAATCTCAAATGTGTTTTATGACTAGTGACAATTGTTAATATCTGTAATATACCTCTGAGATCTTCTTGGACAGGCTTTAAGCTTTTTCTGTTTCTAATTCATGACATTTCAGCCATGTTTCTGTTGGTTATTTAAGTTATCTTCTGCTACTTTTCAGGAAAGAAATGAAGCATTTCTGTTTTCTGCAATTTCGGACCATTTCAGGCATTTTTGGTTAAAATTTTTCTTTTTTTCTGCCATTTCTTAACTTGGAATTTACAGTTTAGCGTACAGAATTCACACTGCATTTTCTCAGGAATCACAAATTTTAATCTTAAATCCCCATAAAGCTTAAAAAACACCAGTCTCTGTGTTATTTTTCTATATCTGATCTATTTGTTTCATTTGGAGAATAATTTTCTAATCTATTGAATCTGACTGTAGAGTGGGACATCCTAGATAGGGTCAGAAGATCCTCATCAGCTTCTGAGTAACTTACTTTTCAGAAAGTTACAGAAAATAAATGGTTTTTTACAATAAAGCTGTCACAATAACAAAGGAAGCATGAAGGGAGACAATCAAAAGTCATGAAATGAACAAACAAAAACAGGTTTTGGATACTTTTTTTATTTTTATAGATTTTCTCTTCGTATATTTTCTAAAATCAATTCTGGGGTTAAATTAATTGTTAAAAGGTGTATTCTCCGCTCGCATCTTCAAATAAATATAAAAATCAAGTTCAAAAATTCAAACTGGCAGCAGGTACAGATTTAGCTCACACAATCATTCCTGGAAAAAAAAAAAAAAAGAAATCAATTGGGATCGAGACAGTTTTTAAAATAAAATCTGGGATAAAAAGAGCTGCAGCTTTAAGGAAAGGCAGAGCAAAGGTGGGTCATTCATGTTGCTCTTTCACATTCAAGACTCAAACACCACGGCTGTGTCCACTTACAGCAGTTTAAATACAATAACAACAAGCACAAAAAGGAAGTTCAGCAACGTTAGCTCTCAGGCAGATGGTTGGAGCTCAGACCTCCATTTATCTGTGGACTACAGAAGGAATAAAAACAAAAAAACTCCATATGAACAGTAAACTTGCATAGATGTGACGTGTACAAAAGAAATGGGGCAAAAGGTAAAAAGGTGCATCTTCAAAAGTTTATTTACACGAAAAAAAGAACGTGCACCGAGTGTCGAGGTGGTCGAAACAACGAAGAGGTCCGAGTGTCAGGAGAGCTGTGAAGTTTTAAAGAAGGAAGGAGGTGATTCGGATTCTGAGCTTTAAACCAGAGTGTCCCGTCAGGAAGGTGGGGTGGGGGGGTGCAGCTCAGCGCATCAGGAATGTTTGGGAACTCCTAAAGTTAGCTCTGAGAGTTCTTGATGTTCTTAATCTCCAGCTCGAGTTGTTTGACGCGAACTTCCCTCTGGTTCAGGAGCTCCGTCAGCCGCCTGATCTCCTCCTGCTGCCTGAGGCACTTCAGACGCAGCTGTAGACACACATAAAACACAGCGGGGGGTCAAGAAAGGCGCCTCTGACGACACAGGGACACACACTGGGAAAACGATCTATATAATAAGTAAAAATTTCTTAATTTAAGTGTATTTTACGCTTAATTTGAATAGGTAAATTAGATACTTGGCCAATGGAATAAATGTTTTTACTCTTAAAATAAGATAATTAGATAATATGCACTCGAAATAAGACAATGCAATTGTGTTTTCTTATTTTAAGTGTAAATTGTATTGTTCCATTGGTAAAATGCATATTTTACCTCCTCAATCCAAGAACAAATGGACTTATTTTAAGAAAAAATGACTTGGATTTGGATTTTTTCCAGTGCAGTAACAGTAAAAAGGTTGAGAGGTTCCGAGTAGCTAGTATCCTGTCTGCTGAGAATGACCTCAGTCTGAGACATGAAGTCCAGCTGACATGTCTTTAAATATCTCCAGTCTAAGGGGTGTGACAATTCTATCAGGATGTGATAATTTTCAAAAGAACTATTTTTTATTTTTTAACAGATTAGGACACAAATGCACTTTTAAATTTTAAATTATCCATCCATCCATTTTCTGTCACGCTTATTGCAAGCAGGGTCATTTGGTGCCTATCTCCAGCTGTCTACGGTGAGAGGCGGGGTCCAACCTGGACAGGTCACCAGTCCATCGCAGGGCAACACAGAGACAAACAACCATCCAAACACACACTCACACCTAAGGAGAATTTCGAGAAGCCAATTAACCTAACAGTCATGGTTTTGGACTGTGGGAGGAAGCCGGAGTACCCGGAGAGAACCCACACATGCACAGGGAGAACATTCAAACTCCATGCAGAAAGATCCTGGGCCAGGAATTTTTAATTACTTAAAACTATGACATTAAATTCAAACAACAAGAAATTAATAGAAAAGCTTTTTTGAAGCTTTAATTTCTTTTTGTAAAAAATCAGAATTGTTCAAAAGTATAAATAAAAACAATTTAAAAAAACTAAGAAATTGTTACTCGTTATAGGTCTAAAAACTGTCATTGGTGAAAATAAGCATCAACTTTCTTGCAGGCCTGGATTTTAAATGGGATCATTTAAAATCCAGGCTTGTGTTTGATAATCAGCTAATCGCACCTCGCTCTCTGTCAGCGGGGAACCATGCGCCTGGTCGTCCCCGTTGCTCACAGACGTCCAACTCCTGTCGGACTTGGCCTGCTCGCCGTCTTCTTTGGCTTCCAGTTGGTCCTGAATGTAGGAGAGGCGCAGCATGCCGGGTCTGCTCTGAGAGCGCCGTGTGTCCAGGGAGTTGGTCAGCCCCTTCAGCTCTGACGGAGGCTCCATTAGTTCACTTCCAGGCTTCAGAGACATGAAAACCGGTCCTGAAAGACCCAAACCAGGAAGAATATGAGCACAGCAAACTACCTGAACAAAACATGCTTGATCAAATTTCGGGGATTATTCATAAGAAGAATGAGCATTGCTGACCTTTACTGATGCCGCTGAGCCACTCTTCTGCAGTCAGCGCTGGTCTGTTACCTGCCGTCATTGGATAGATGTCTTCTTGGTACGACTCCGACTAAAAACGAAGAGAAAGTCAGAACGAATGACGCTTAGATGAAAGAAGTTGTCTGATGCTTGCTGTGTCGTGTTGGAGGTGTGTGTTAATCTGGGCGCTCTCACCCTGCGGGGTACGATCATAGAAATAGGCTCAATGAGGCTCTTGACTATCACCACTTTGTAGAACCTGAAAACCTCACATGATGTGACATCCAGGCCTCTCTTTGGCATTACTCCTGCAAAAAAAAAAAAAGACATAAAGAGCTTCACACATGGGACAGAAGTCTCATTCACAATGTTATTCTGTAAAATCAGAGATTAAAGAATTTTGGATTATGTCTAACTAAACCAAGAAGTTAGTCAGATTGTGACCCGACTTCATAATCAGGTCAATATGATTTGCTGCCCAAATCATTACCCTTCCACCACCATGCTCAACATGAGCCTTTTTTTTTAGCTGAAAAACTGCATTTGTTTTCTTAATTGAAGGTCGTTTGTCTGAGAGGTAAAGCTCGGCTGCCAAACACCAAAGGTAATCACACAACAGAATGTCCTAATAAGACTGGAACCAAGGCTTTGGTCTAGTTCAAGTCCACACTGGAAAAACGACCTAGAAAAAAGTAAAAAGTTCTTAAATTAAGTGTATTTAACCTTAATTTGAGTAGGTAAATGAGATCATTTGTCAATGGAATTAGAATTTTACTCTTAAAATTAGATATTTAGATAAAAGGCACTTGAAATAAGTCAAAGCAATTGTATTTTATTATTTTAAGTTTAAATAGTCTTGTTCCATTGGCAAATGTCTCTTTTACCTCCTCAATTCAAGAACAAATTCACTTATTTTAAGAAAAAATTACTTATCTAGATTTCTATTTTTTCCAGTGCAGGGCTCAACCTGGCCGACACCCTTTGTCTGAACCCCCTGACAGCTGTGCGGAGACAAAGTTAGCAAACCTCTGAGGCTACAGAACCGACCACTAACTGAAATGGAAAAGATTCCTGATAGTTTAGCAGCTAAAGGTTGTTCAGGAAGCTTCTGATTCATTAGGTTTACAGTTTACCTACAGACAGATTTTCAGTCCTGGTTTCATCGGTGTTTAGATTCAAGCTTTCTTTAGTACCTTGTAAAGCCCATCTCCTAGGTTATTTGGTTTCCAAACATCTTAAAGGGCTCATAGAATGATTCTATAGGGTATTTGGTGCTGGTCCTTAAGGTCTCTGAATAGGATGTGTAACATTGGTTGGGCTGAAAATGGCATATTTGCTGTTCTATGAGCCCTAATACAAGCCTGGTTAAGTTGAAATGACAGGTTTTCTTCCTTCTATGCTACGCTCAAAGCTGCTGAGCAATGACGCATCATAGCAACAAGCACTCAATTACTGAAACATTGTTGATATGGTAGGGTGACCAGATGTCCTCTTTTTCCCGGACATGTCCTGCTTTTCATACCTGAAAAAATGTCCGGGGGGAATTTCAAAATTTTCTAGGATTTTGGTGGACTACAGTGCAGCACGTAGTTGAAACAGGGAGCCAGCGGGGGATGGAACGACAAAAGTACAGGCCAGAACAAAATAAAGCAACATCCACGAGTTTACGTCAAGTCGGGGCTTCGTTTGGATTCGCCTGTTTTATGGTGGAAGTTTAGAATTGTGAGATTTGCAGAGAAAGGAGGTATCGATGGGGTTGGAACTTCTCTGTACGTCCATTTCACCCACTGAACCATCGTTATTCATCTATGACAATGGAAACTTGGTTTTGCATTCCATGACACCTTTAAAAAAGCTGGAAATGTTAGTTTATCAATTAACCTGAACTTAGAAATTAATCAGTTCCTGCTTCTCATTGTGCTGTGAGCTCTGACTGTCAGTCTAAAGCTTAAAATCATCATCCTATTATTTGCGCAGCATTCATCCGGTTCTCTTCTTTAAATCATGGGTGTGTAAAATTAGCTTAAGAACAGGATTAACAACAGTCTCTTCTGTATAAGCTCTGTTCGTTTGGAAGGATAAAGCTCAAGTTAGCACTATTATCTCAGGTGCTCAGTAATCTGATCTGAATGTATAAAAATGAAGCTCAGAGCGTCCAGATCTGATGGGGACAAGAAAAACACAACAGGGGACGTTGCTGCAGACCATGTTGTTCAGTTAGCGCATCATTTCTTCAAATATATTACTAATAAAGCATCTCTGTAGGATTTTCAGTGCAGCAACACTCCGGTAGTCTTTGATGTGAATAGTTGAAGGGTAGAGGTCTAGAAAGGTGACGGCCAGCAGGCTCCTCAGCACCTGATTTGGTTAATCAAATACAGCAGCTTCATTTGCACAACAGCTTTGCCTACAGGTGCAAAGAGTCAATGCAGCCTGGGGAAAAGAAAAAAAAAAGCTAAAAAAAACAAAAAGTTTGACCATGTTTTGCTTTTCTTACCCATTCCTTTCTGAGGTGAGTGTGAACGGTACTCCGTCAGGTAGTGGAGGTAGGGTTTTTCTGAGCTGATCTCATAGTACCTGATGTTTCCATCCCCCTAAAAATATCAAAACATTTACAGCTTTTTGATTTTGTGTTTTTTTTGGCTATCTTTTCTCTAATGAGCCCGTCTTACCTTTCCAGCAAGGTAGAGCATGTGTGTGTCAGGGTCGTAGAACGGGAAGATCACCCCTGAGGAACCGTCCAGGTTCTCCTGCAACAAAGGCACAGACAGGTCTTCCTGCAAACGCACACAGAGAAACAAACTTTTGTTAAAAAAATAAATTAAAATAAATAAAAAAACACAGTTTGATCCACTGAATTAAAATCCACAATCCATTTTTGCATAGTAAATAAAATTGGCCACTAGATGGCAGGGTTGGGTTTAATACAGAAGTTTGAAACAGGAACATTAAAAAAATAAATAAATAAATAAAAGCTAATTTGGTAAATAATTAAAGAAGGAGAATCCTGAGTCTGCTCTCTCACCTGATCCCACAGAGCTATCTGTCGATCGTTGTAGCGAGAAGTGCCAGATGTGATGAGCATCTTCAGGTTCCCTAAAATCAGCACCTTACTGGCTTTATGCGACTTACAATTTGCTTCCTGCAAACCAAAAACAAAAAGGAAATTTAGAGGCATTTACAGTCTGTTTTCTTTGGCGTTTGGACAGACTGCTTTTTCTGTTTACTTATCTACAATGTGGTTCATTAAAGCAAATGATAGAATTCAAATAAAATATTTTTTCTTGAAAACTCCAAAGAGGCAGATAAAGGAAAACTTGAAATACAGTTTGTTAATATTGAAAAGGGAAAAAAAATCCTTCCAGTTGTAAACGATGTAAAATAAAATTAGAAAAAGGTGATGATTTTATACCAAATATTTATTAGATCAAAATGTATTACATCAATTATACTGCTTATTGTTAATAACCATATTTTAATTAATGTGTGAAGATCTGGGGGAAAAATTAGAAAACGACTCTAAACTCAGTTTGACTGTAAAAAAGGTAAAAACTAATCAATAATATTCAAAGCCAAACAAACATTTTTTAAATATTCAGAGCAGTTTATTGAATGGGAAACAGGATAGCTTAATACGATTGTTCCGTTTTCAATAACAAAACTTTGCGTCACAATGGATGTTGGATCAAGAACTAAAACAACAAACAACAAAATAAAAAAAATATCTCTGCTAAACACGTCAACGATAAGAATTAAAAAATGATAAACTATTTAAAAAAGAATTGTTGTACAACATGTCATTTTTTTTGCATATCAAATCTAAAAAAAGTGTGTGTTCTGTCTGATTGGATTCAGGGGATGCCAAACCCAGGGACACGAGGACTGGGATTAAATTTAACCAAGATCTCTATTATGTTTAAGAGTGTTGAATATAAAATGTGTGTTCTCAGTTTGTCACAGAAATGTTTTGTTAATCACCAATTCCAATTTAAATAATTAAAAACACAACTAGACATAAAATTAGGCCTCAAAAGTAATGAAAACATCAATTTTCTCTGCCCTGAGACAATGAGGGTGTGTTCACTAGGGCAGCTGAAACCACATGCTATTCTATTACAATACACAGTTTTAAAGAAAAAAAAAACAGCTACTTAGCCAGACTCAAAACCCATCTGTTCCAGCTCGCTTATCTGTGAATATACTGCTCTTTTCCCTATCCATGATTGTTTTTTTTGTTTTTTATGTTCCTGTATCTGTATTTTGTATTTTCATCTCTTTGTATTTATTTTTTTTGTATTATTTGTAAAGTGACCTTGAGTGTCAAGAAAGGCGCTGTTAAATAAAATGTATTATTACTATTATTACTTATTATATTTACACAGAGTTTTACTTCAGGGGGAATCAGAGGAAGCTTTGCCGTTTGTAACTCATCTTCAATGAAAGAAGAGAGGAGAGTCTGTCTGCAGACAGGCTGCAGCTGCTGCATCCTTAGATTTATTTTTTCATTTTTTTATTACACAAGTGTAAACAAAAAAATTTTGTTTAGAACAGCTCTCTAGACAATTTAGTTTTTTAAAGTGCAGCCTTGCTAAGGTAAGCAGCAGTTGTTGTTGAGCTGCTAGTACTGCCTCCAGCTCCTGAAGCACTCACTTCTCCTGGCTCAGGGGAGGAAGAGGATGCTGATGATCGCTGTGAGGGTGGTAGCCCCCTGGGTTGAAGCGGATGCCGTGGTTGAAGCAGCAGCGGTGCCATCGGCAGGTTTAGCAGCGACAGACGATGCTGGAGAAGCTGTGGAAGCCGGAGGGGGCTGGGAGGAACCGGCTGGGGATGTTTCAGCATCTTCAGGGAAGCAACTAGAGTGCTCTCCTCATTTTCACCTGCAGAGGGCTGTGCTTCCCCTCTAGATGCTGAAGATTTCCTGGGAACAGTCTCAGAGGAGCCTCCAATTAAGGAAGAGCTCTTTGTTTCTATCGGCGTGGTACAGCATCAGCCCCTCCAGGCCAACAACATTGTCCGGTATTGTTTGATGCAGCCATGACTCTATCAGAATGATGGTGCATTAGTTACATATCTCCTTTTATGAAGAGAGATCAAGTCGAGGATGATCCATTTTGTTTTCCAACGAGCGGACGCTGGAGAGCAGGATTGATGGAAGCGGACCCTAAGCAGCCTCACTTTCTCCGTCTTGCTCATCTCTTCCTCGGTTTTTTTCCGCTGTTTGTTGACATCCGTCCGTAGCACTCTGCAGCTTTTAAAATGGTCAAAAAATGTCAGTATTTAAAACATTTTGTGACCGTAGCTCCAGTAGGCCTTGGCGATAATAGATGCGGGTTTGATGTCTAGTTTGTATCGTTTTAAGCGAGCGAGAGGAGCTGCTCTTGGCTGCTGCCTTGGAGGAAGGGGCTTGCTCACTGTTCGCTGAAGACAGTAAACTCAGAGCAATCACTGCTCTGTTGTCATCAGTGTCTCCAATACAACAGGAAAGTTTTTAGATTGTTTTTACACTGCTGAGGCCTATGCATCACTTTTAAGGGATGGTTATCCTCCCTCAGCAGTGTGTCACAGTGAGCTTGATGCAGATATTTTTGATTTATGCCCAATATTGAAGTGTGGACTGTGCACAAACCAAGAGGGACAATCAGGACCTAGCTGTGGGTCTAGATACGGCCGAGGCGGTGAGGCAGTGGGGGCAAATTTGTCCGACAAACGGAGGGACATGAGGGTGAAAAATAGCGGGGATCCAGGTGGAAAAAGGGTCCCAGCGTTCTGGTGCACCTCGCTCTTCTAGCTGGTCCATCTTTACGAGTCATTTTCCACAATGGCGGTCATACAAACAAAACAAGCCGGTAAGGTACCAAACAGGAAATACGCATAGGGTAGAGCGGATGTAGATTTGACCAATCAGAGGCCTCCTGTCTGCAGCACTGTCTGTGGTCACCTACAATTCTGGAGAGGTGCAGCAGCGTGGCCGCGGCAGGGCGGAGGCACATTTGCATTCACTGCGACACACACCCTGGTTTTTGAGTATAAATCAGCCTTTAGACACGAACCCAAAATAATGAAACACAGGAATACTGAAACCCAGATTTAATTCTAGTGCCACAGTGCCATCAAAGAATTTTGGGAGACTTTTTACACACGTAGAACAAAAAATTCATGACATTTATAATTCATATAGAAGGGAACTCTTTCCATGGTCTAAATAAGAAAAACTCCTATGTTCATTAATGTGAGAACAGATCAGAGAACAACTTCTCTCCTGAACCCACCGAAGAGCAACAACCATCCAATGTAGACCGGTTTTATACAGTAGAAAATGTGGTACAAAATGATTATGGCGGGTTATAAACAGGTGAACTTCTGGTTCGCTTTATGCAGATAATCAGATGACATCACAAACGATCGGTTATTATTATTCAGTTTGAATCTGACGGTGCAAATGTGTCAGTTTTGTCCATGTGGTGCTGAAACACAGTCTGCTGTGAGAAGGAATAAAACAGATGAGGAGCTCTGGAAACGGATCAGAAAAAAGCTGTTCCTGGGAAGGCTGCAGCAAAGCGATACTGGACTGACCTTCCTAATATATCATCGGTTTTAAAGTCTTTAAAAAATGTGTTTTGTTTTTTTTTCCATTAGGACTATGCATAGGTAAAGGGATTTATCAAGAAACTTTGACCAGTTTATCCAAGCAGCAGCAGAAAATGGAGATATTGCCTCAGAGGGGGTTTCACCTGCATCCCAGTCTGGAATTACGACCTTTCAAGTCTCCACATGTTGATGTCTGAGCTCAGAGCAGAAGCACAGACAGCCAGTAGGTGTCAGCAGGGCAGGGCCCGCTGCCAGCATGCAAAATCTGATCTGATCAGATAATGCCGCATGGATTAACATGAACTTCCTGTTTATGGTGAAGGATTAGTGACGATGGTTGGATGAGTTATGCGTCCGTTACATGACCCACAGCATTAAAACGCTGACAGCATCTCAAACATGATCAGTTATCAGCTCTGAGGGGAGTTTCTTCAATCTTTAGTTATTCCTAAAAATTCTGGATTGGACCTGAAATAATCAGCAAGGTTCTGAATATGTGCAGAGGGACCTTCTGCACAGATGGAGATGGGGCAATTGGATGAAACAATTTGTGGATCTTGATATGGAAGCATAAAGAACGGAAGCTCAAACATCTGGATCTTGTGTTTTGTCATTTCTTTAAATCTTTCACTGAATGATAAACTCAACACTGGAAAAACAATGTAGAAATAAATAATAAAATTCTTTTTCCTTATTTTTATTTTTTACGTAAGTGCATTTACTTTTAAATTGAGTAGGTAAATAAGATAATCTGCCAATGGAATGAGTATTTTTACTCTTAAAGAAGATATTAAGATCAAGTGCACTTGAAATAAGACAATGCAATTGTGTTTTCTTATTTTAAATGTAAATTATCTTATTCCTATTGGCAAAATGTCTCTCTGAAAATCTCAATTCAAGAAAAAATGCACTTATTTTAATAAATAATTATTTATATAGATTTAGATTTTTTCCAGTGAACATTTATTTTATTCCAAAAAATGTGGCTTTTGACAAGGGTTCTACAGGTTCAGGTCAGAGAAGGACTCCTTTCTTTTTTGACCATAGTCTAACAGTTTCTCTGGTCTTGTTGCACCAAGGTTTATGGAATCGCTCTCATTCTGACCGCAGATTTAAACGCTGTGACAAACACACCTGCAGCACGTTCCCTGAGCGCGCCTCCATCAGCCGGACCTTCCTGTCCCTGCAGGTGGTGGCCAGGAGGCTCCCGTCCGTATTGAAAGACATGGACAGGACGACGTCTGTGTGGTGCTGGATGGTTCGGACGGGGTTCTTTATCACCTGCTCTGGAGAGTCCAGGTTCCAGATCATCACCTGGTGGGAGGACAAAAAAAGCAGAAACGTTCAGCAGAGAATCAGCTGGAAAACAATCCAGATTATGTTTATTGGTATTAAAAAGTTAAATACAAAAAATTACAGCTTATTTATAAAGCAAATTAAAGAAAAAGAAAAACCAACAACACCCTGTGATGTTGGCCTATGTGCTGACATTGATTGTCTACTTCAGGTCAATGTTTCCAGTGGTAAGGTCACCTCTGGATCAGCTTAGATCAGGATAGTTGGTTCCCGTTCTCCACCTTTTAGAGTCATCGTTGGTCCGACACTCCTGAACTGAGTGACTCAGTATGCGGCACGTTTCTCCAGCTTTCCCTTCATCATCCAGTTAGTTCATTCAGGAGTGTTGGACCAAGGACAGTTAGAAGTTCCAGGATAAGAGCAGAGAGACTCTGTGTGGCTGGACTCTGATCATGTCAGGATCACATCATCACGCCATAGGACATTAATCTGCTCTGTTCCTGTTTGGCTGTGACTCCATCCTGGAGCTGTGTTTCTGCCATCAACACCTTTGTTTATAGATGTTTGAACTTGGCCTATTTTTCAGTGTTGTCCTGTTTCTCTGACTGTGAGTGGCTGGATGTGCTCTCTTCATCCTCTGACATGGGAGCTGGCTCGATGCTTGTCTGCCTGGCTGTGTCTTCCCTAGACGGGGAGTCCGCCTGTGGAGCTGGCTGCCTTTTGTATCTCTATTTCTGTCTCCTTGAACCCCTGTCAGCCTCAGCAGATGGCCGCTCACACTGAGCCTGGTTCTGCTGGAGGTTTCTTCCTGTTAAAAAAGAGTTTTTCCTCTCCACTGTCGCTACAAGCATGCTTAGTGTGAGGGATTGCATTTGAGTTAATGAGTTGATGCAATAAACTGGTTTTCATTAGATAGAAAACTTAATCAATTTGACTGGATGATCTGGTTGAACAGTAAAGTGCTTTCAGAAGACATGCATTGTGAATTGAGACTATATGAATAAACTGAATTTAAAATTATAGTAGTGTACTTGTAGGCTTTCAACAGATCAACAAACCAGTAAAGTGCATAACTGTCCAGTATTCAGCGGTCAATATAGTTTGCTTTTTTCTAGTTATGTTTTTAACTTAATGCTCATTATGACTCTCTGAACTGCCTTAGATTGATCTGGAATCAACGCAGCAAAAAAAAGAAAGGCTGCCGGTTTCAGAGACGCACCGCGGCGCATCCGTCCTGACTGACTAGAGCTGCTGTGATCAACTGCAAACATAAAGGCAGGAGCCAGACTGGTCCATGACTCTAAGGTCAACAATCAGCCTTTAAGATCTATTCTGGAGGGAACAGGGGGCCAGCAAAGAGAAGCATCTTCATAGACCTGATGAATCTCAACATTTAAAACTGGCTCAGCTGGTAGGTCTGTCAGCATCCTGGACCCTGGTTCACCATATTGGAGCTTTACCTTTTAATCTGGATTAGAAGGACCCAGACACAGTATTTAATTTTAGAATACCAGATAAAAGTATTTGGATCCACGTAGAGTTGAACTGTTAGAGGACAGTGCTTCACATCTCCAGCGTTATCAGTCTGTTTAAGCTACTTTTTAGGCATGGATACAAAGGTTGGAGTTTGATCTAGATATTCTCCTACGGATAAAAGCTGGAAAAGAGACGATATATTGGATGGACAGAGATACACAGAAATATTCCTCTAAAGTCTGTTTATTTTCCCATCCTAAAAAAAAACAATTAAAATCTCAGACTTTTGCAGAGCAGAGCCCTGAGTGTCATTTGCTTGTAAAGTCGCTTCACATGGACGTCAGCGGCGCAGTAATCACAGAAAACATCTAATTCCTGAAACCCGTTTGGCAGCGTTATAATACAGACGTGCCGCCATATATTTAACAATCAGCCTTTTGTTATCCTTATCTTCACGGATGCCGTGAGGTCAGATCCCTTCTGTTACCTGGTAGTCATAGGCGGTGCTGAAGAGGATGTTGTTGGCCGTCGGATGCCACTCGATGAGGCCCACTCTGCGGCTGTGACCCTGCAGCTCCTTCCACGGCATAGTGAGGTTCGTCAGCACGCCATGACGAGGGATTTCCCATACTTTAACCTGCACAGAAACGCGCTCAGAATGATTACAGAACCTTCATCAGAGAGGAGCAGAGACTTTGCCCCCTAGGCACAGTTTATGGACTCCTCTTCCTCTGCCTGCAGGGCTTTGTTCTGAGCCGCCCTGCCAGGCGGAAGGCTTAACAAGCCAGGGAATAAAAATCATCTCATATTTCAGGAATGCAACTACACATCAATTCAGTCAGTCTGAAAGCGTCCACGCACCGTGGCGTCCTCTGAGCAGGAGGCGATGCAGTAATCATCGAAGGGATTCCATTTGATGTCCAGGACGGAGCCCCTGTGGCCCGACACTCGAGGGTGGTGGGGATCCAATTTACCCGTCTGACAAAAAATAAATAAAACTATAATTAGAAAACTAGACAGTCAGTCTGGAAATGATCATTATTTACTTTGCTTGGAAAGGAAATCAATAACCTCCTGGATAAGCAGCAATCAGAGGAGTCTGAGTGTTTCAGACTAAAGGTAGCAAAATCTAATAAGCTTCAATGATATCAGTGCATGACAGGACTGATTTGCATGTGTAATGTAAACTAATCTGCTTAGCAAATTGCTGCTCTAGGAAAGAGCAACATGCAAAGGTTTCAAACCAGCTTGGATTTTCCCCTCCTAGAAATTTCTGAACAAGAAGTTTCTGCTCTGGAAAAATAATTATCACTGAGATTCTTTGATGGTTTATCTGCAAAATAATTTTTTTTTTTTATTCTGGCCATTAAATCCAAAACTTTAAAAAAAAATCTTATTTTTATCAATAACAGAAGCGACACATGTCATGACTTTGTGTACTTCCTCCTGTTTTAGAGGAGGGATTGCTGCAAAGCTAGAGACTTTGTCCCTTTGATTCAGTCTGCTTTCATTAAAAAAACAAACAAAACAAAACCGAACAAACAACTGATCAAATCTGAATAATTGACTATAATATAAACTGGATCTGGGTTTTCTTTAAGAACCCAGATTTTCAATTGAAAACTTAAATTGAATCTCAAACTGCAACCTCTAGTAAAATAACTGTGAATCTATTTATTCTCCTTTTAAAGAGGAAATCTTTCATACAGTTGTTAAAATGAACAAATTTCAAATTATTAATTTAAATCTTGTTTCAAAATTGAAATGAATAATATCAGCCAGTAGGAGCCTAATCCAGTTTGAAGGGGTTTGATGGGAGCCAATCTGAAGCCCCTCTGCAGTAGGGCTGAGTAAAAAAAAAAAAAAGTGATTTAATCGATTTTGAATCGATTCCTTTACATTTTTGCAAAATCAATGTCTAGGGAATGAGATCGATTACTTTTATTGTGACGCGCATGACGTTCACATTCAAATAAGCAGGGAAGATGCACTCAAGATGACTTCAAGCCAGACAGCTGCAAATATAGCCAACAGGTTGACTGAAGACATTAACAAATGGAGGCTGAACAGCAAACACCCTGTATTTGTTACAGATAATGCTGCAAATATGGTTTGTGCAGCAAAGATAATGCAGCTCATGAATGTCTGCTGCATCACATCTGTTTGCTCAAGTGAAGCTTTTTCACTTTTCACAAACAAGTTTGCACTTTTGAGACAGTTTTGTTCACATCTCAAGTTTAAACTGTATTTATTTACAAGTTCCCACTTTGTGTTTAATATGAAAGGAAAAATTTAAATACATGAGTGTTTTGAAACACAGTTGAACCAATTTCATTATTGCAAAAACAGATCGAATCGAAATTAATCGATTTAGAACTGAATGAATCAAAATGGAATCGATTCAGGACTTTGGCGAAAATACCCAGCCCTACTCTGCAGGTTCTGGAGCACAAAGGTGACAAAAAATGTAGATAATAGAACTCTTATCTTCCATTATGCTACCAAAACAAGCCTTCTGTTTCACAGAAGGTGACCTAAAGACAATGCATGAAGTGATTCATGGATGCTTTTGGTGTTAGCACCTCCAGAGAAAAACACAGACATGTTCACACAGAGTCATGGTTTGGGTGGGACTCAATGCAGGTGAAAGAAAAAAAAAATAAACTCCAATCTGCCAGATGTTGTCTTTTTTCCCCTGAAACTTTAATTATTGTAAACTCCAGTCAGTGCTGCTCAGATTAACATCCCTGAAGGGCATTTATCAGACACATGACGGGCTAACTGCTGCTTTCCTTTCACATAAACCGTCAGAAATTCTTTTGGGGAGCATTGAAAATAAAATAAAAAAAACACTGATGAGTGTGGCTGAAAAGTCAGTCAACCAGATGCACAGGGAGAATCAAAGTGTCAGGCTGATCAGAATGTGTTGATCTGTGCAGGCTTGGACACGATTCCCCTTTTTGCACCGCGTCTAAACGTGCAAGACATTGACGCGAAAGTGCAAAATGTCCACAAAATCTTGCAAATTCTTTCGGACGGCTCCTCTCATATTAGATCAAATCAACTGAAAAGGTCTGAAACCTTTCTGTCCAAGCGGCACCGGTAATTATCTCTAAACAGAATGCTCCGTCAAATTCATGCCTGCAGGCGGGAGAGCCGGGCAGGTAGAAGTCTGTAGAGGTGAAAAAAAAATGAAGCTGTTCAGGCACAGAGCGGTGGGATGTAGGACGGTGGCAGGAGGAGTGCTAAAGTTTCACCTCCTTGAGATAGAAGGGAGGATACTGCAGGGGGGTCAAAGATGAGATATTTCATTCCTGAGCTCATATGCAATCCTTGACGATGCCAAGAGGCTGGTAAAAGAAAATAAAAATCAGAGAGACGGAGAGAGAGAGAAAGAAAAGGAGGTTCTCAGCTTCATTAATCCCCTATCTTCAGATAAGCTGAGTTCTTTTTTCCAAGACTACACAAGAGAATTAGATATTTTAGAACAAAATCAGGATTTTTGTCGAGAAAGGGTAAAAAAGGTGTTTCTGTACACTAAGATTTATAACATGAGAACAGATCCACCTCCTCTTAGCCGCCCTTAGAGAACAAAGAAGAGTTAATCAGCTTTTTGATTAGCAGAAACATTTCTGTGATCCTTTATGTGTCGCAGATTTTCTGTGACCAGCATAAATCAGGACGAGGATTTGTGTCCGAAATACGACCAAAAGAGGAATAAAGGACATTTTCTGGGAAGGAAACACCTAAAGCAGTGGTTCTCAACCCAGCTCCTCATTTGACTTTTTAAAAAGCCTGTCCCACATTAACAAAGGTGGACTATAGTTGATTAAAATGTAAAAATAAAATCTTTGGATAACCATCCTTCGCTTTTCGAAGGACCCTTAGATTTCGAGGTTTGCCACCAGTGATTAAAAAATGTGAAAAAACAGTTCAAACAGAGCAGCAAACCTGCTCCTCAATTCATGCATCGTTTATTTCCTTTGAAGTCTTGATTTGCTGTCAGTTTTAAATTGATTTCTCAGTATAAATTTGAAAGGTCGACGTCTAAAAGCCTCACCAGGAACCGGATGTTTGGATCGGCCTTTAGCTACAGGACAATTATTGCTTTTAATTCTAATGTTTTATGTCTTCTCCTTGAATAAATACATTTGTAATAATAATTAATCAAAAAGGATTGTGAAAGGACTTCTGCAGACTCCCACATTTTAATTACCTCTGAGGCTTCCATGCCTGTTTTTTTTTATGGAGGATCGATTTTAATTATTAAACCCATATTGACTCAGCTTTGGTTCCCTTTATTCAGCTGCCATTTGAATCATTCATAAATTCACACAGAGTCCTGCAGCTTGCAGTCCCCCTTTGCATGTCTCTCCTGATAAATCAGTGCTTCGACCTCATTAAACAACCTGACATCAGTCTGTCTGCAAAGCTGCCTGCCAAGCAAAAAAACTCACATGGTGGACCGACAGCACCAGGAAGGCCCCGCCCCCGACACACTCTGTGATGATGGCGATGAAGCGAGGGTTGACGGCGCAGAAGTGGTTGTCCTGGACGCTGCGTGTGATCGGCACGCCATCGTAGCAGTTCTCCTTAGTGGCAGCTTTCCCAAACACATGGCGAAATTTGGAGCTGCGGTACTGAGGGCGCCATGTCATCTGAGAGGAGGAAGAAAACAGAAAGGTTTGCAGTTACCGACTGGGTGTGCTCACACTTTACAACCGAAAAACAAACCGCAGATCAGTCAAGAAACCAGGAAAAATCACAAAATCAAGATAAATAAAATAATCTCCCTAAATTTGCCAATCCAGTTTTCTTTAATGAAAAGGGCGGTGAGTCCTAAAGTAAAGGCAATAATGATCAGATATAATGTTGCTGCTTAAACTTCACCTAATACTACAAAAATATGATTGAAATTATTAAAAAAGCTTGAATATTACAGGGAATCGATATGGATATGGGGAAAAAAAAAATCTGAATGTCGACCGGCATCTTAAATCTTTATAATGTGCACTTTGCTTTTAACTGCTTCTTTTAAAGTTTCTGAAACCAGCTGGTTAAAAGTAAATGGGTCAGTTGTACCAGTTGTCCGTGGCCATTTCTAGTCCTTTTCTACAGTGATCCATCCTGATATTCTGTCTGGTTTATAATAAAAATAGGTCGGAATAATTTTGCAAAGATCTAAATTGTGATTATTTTTTAACCAATATTTCAATTTCAATGTTTCTTTGCATTTAGTACGAGCATGTAGACCAGCGGTCCTGAAGCTTTTGCGTGCATCCCTGCTCTAAAACCTAAAATAAAAGCCCAAACCAGCTCCTTGGCATGTCGGTTAGTTTAGCAGAGGCCTGGATATTAACAGTTTATATATTCCTTAATTAATTTACCTCAGCGTATGAATCCATGTTTAATGTAATAAATGGAAAATAGGATTGTTTTCGGGGAATGTTTTCTATCCTTCAGATTATTTAAGATTAGGGTTGAAACAATTAATCGATTACTGAAATAATCCTTAACTAATTTAGTAAACAATCGTTAACTAGGGCATAGGGACTCTAAAGCATGTCTTTAGCTCACAGAGTAAACCACTTAGAGCAGCAATTATACCAAAATTGTAAAAAAAAAAATTATAAACATTTTGCATTTAAAGCTACAGTGTGTAACTTTTAGCGACATCTAGCGGTCAGACTGCAGACTGCAGCAACATGAACATCTCCCCCCCACCACTTCTCCCCCCCAACAGTATGGCGAGCGTTACGGGACAAAATGTCTTCCACGATGTCCGCATCACCTACCTTCTCAAGTGATGAGGTTTGTTTACATAGATAATTTTACAGATAGTATTTCATTAGTCTGTGTAGGGTATAGATTTCATGTAGACTTAAGATAATAAATATACCCGTTATTTTTTCTACATCGTTGTGACGTTTTGGCGATCTCACAATCGCTAGTTTGTTGGCTCTGCGCTGCCGTAGCGCAAAGATGTCTGCCTCCATGGCTGCGAGACCCGCTCCTATTTAATTATAAATAACGAAGGCAACGCAAATATTAAGGTTAAGAGGCTGAGCTCGTAGATGATGATAAATAACATAGTTATGTATAATATATTACATTTCTGACTGTATATCCCTTTAATTATTACACACTGTAGCTTTAAGATGAAAATCCTTTTCGTCTGTCAATCTGCTCTATCCAGAAATCCTCAAGTGGAAAAGTTTTAGTCTCACCTGCTTTAATTTCGTAAGAGTCTTCTTTAAATGAACCTTTGTATATCCGATTATTAATAGATTAATCAAAAAACTACTCGACAGATTAATCGATTTGCTGAATAATCATTAGTTGCAGCCCTATTTGAGATCAAAACAAACAAAAAGAAACACAGGACAGAACATATTCATGACAGAAAGCATAAACAAAGCTTCCTAAATCCTGAGTGAGTTTTTAGCCCATTTCCTTGAGCTGGTCGATGCATATGTCATTATTGGGAAAGATAAAAGGCTCTGGTCCAGAGGGAAAAGCCTCGGCCAGCCAGCATGTCTGCTGCTCCTCCCTGCCTCGCTGCTGCAAGCTCATTACTAATGAATAAAGGGTGGAGGCAGACGGACGAGATGTTACTGCTTAAAAATAGGTCCCAAACAACAACAACCTGCAGAGAGCTGCAGGAGCAACAAGCTGCGGGGGGTGTGATGTCATCTAAAGTTTGTGTTTGCAGACAAATCCAACATAAAACAATTACCTAATTCTAATGACTTGTCCAGACAGCGTTCAGATGATGGCTAAATAAATACACGGTAGGCCTGATGCTGGTGAGGCTAAAAAAGAAGCAGAGGAAGGAAAAAAAGACACAACTGTGACTTGATGTCTGGGTTTGCTCTTCTACCTCTCTGCTCACATGCAGGATATGCCTGCATAGCAGACTATCCAACCATCCTGTCAACCAAATTTGCAATACTCCCACAGTTAGACAGACAGCGTTTCCTGCTTGGTGCAAACACACCTAAACACGGATAATGAATCCAAATAGAACTGTTTCTATTTATAGGAATAACAGCTCGACTTAAAGGGTCAAAACTTTTCGCCTTCATCAAACTTCAGCAGGGACATGAAACTAGCTTGATTTTAGGAAAGAAATGTTAAAAGTAGTATTGTTATTGAAATTAGTTTGAACCAGCTGTATTTAAGGTCAGCTGTTCCAACCGTTGCATTTCCCAATTCTCCCAAGTAGTGCCCTACTTTACACGAGTGAATAAAGTGAATGTGATTGGTCGTTTATCAAGAGGGCGGGATTGTTGTGGCGGGAGGTTCGCAAGCAGGTTTGATTGTGGCCGGTTTCTCTGAAATATCTTGCTAACCAGTTAGCAATTTAGTGCTAGCAGGTTCCAAATGGGAAATTCCATTGGGACCAAGTAGCACTAAATTGGTGACTTAGAAACGACACTGTCAAGGAACGCTATGGACAGAGGAAACATGCAAGAGGAGGAGAGTTTAGTGTTGGAGGTCGTGGATGAGTCTCCTCCGTCATCCATTTTTTATTTAGAGGAGGAAAGTGGGGATGAAGTTGTTGTGGAAGAGGACGCCAGGGCGTCAGAAGCTTGGTTTGGTGTAGAAGGCTTACAGCCGTACATGTTTGAGCCCTTGCCTCGCAACGCTGCCAGTTCTGTTAGCTCTACGCCTGCCGAAGACACAGACGTCCATCCCCGTGAACACTGGGATGGAACTCAATGGAAAAAGTAATGATTCTTATTTCTTATTGCAACTGTTGCGTATATTAGCTGCAACATATGAATCAAGATGCTATGACCAAAAAAAAAAAATTGATTGACAGATGACCATTGATATATGATTGGCTGAATTTAGGTGTACAAGCTGACGTATAAATAACTGGCCTGCAGAAGATAGCGGAAAAAAACACTGATTTTAAGACAGGATTTTTTTTTCAAATAGAAATGTTCTAACTTTTGAGACAATATTGTCTGATAAAGAATAGATTTATATCAAGGGCGTAGGTTTGATTTGAACTTTGGTAGGGACACTATCAGTCGGTTGTCATTGGTGCTATGCAATATGCATGTCCTTTTTTATGCACGGTGTGAGGATCCGTACTGATAAGAGGAATTCATTGTTAAAAGAGAAAAGCAACATTTTGCTACATTAATAAAAATTGTATAAGCACTACACTCATTAGATGCTGTTTATGAATGTTTGAAGTATCACCGGCTCTGATCAATGTGGAATTAGGACTGTTCTCCACTTTGAAAATGGTTTCATTTGAACGACTAAGAGAGAAGGTAAATACAGTATTTTCTTCTGAAGATATAGAATTGTGCAGAGTTAAACCCCACTCTTATATTTTTACCTACTATTCTCTCTCTGTATCAAGCGAAATAATACATTCATTAAAATATTAAGTTCACTATTAAAGTGGAACATCTGGGCTGTAGTTACTCTGTGTCGCCCATTTCATGTATTTTATCTGGGACTGAAAAAATTAATCGTATTAATTGATTATTTCAATAATCGTCAACTAATTTTGTGAGTGATTCATCATTTACTGTAGAATAGAGACTCTAAAACATAATAAAAATGTAAAATATGCCTTTCTCCGACAGAGCAACCCACTTAGATCAGTAATTATACCAAAATTTTTAAAATACAACATATATATATATATAATATATAAGATTAAAAAAATGTTTTTGTCTGTCAATATTCTCCATCCAGAACTCATCAAGAGGAAATATTTTAGTATCACCTGTTTTATTTAGACATCATCTGAAGCACTGAAGGGCCAGCTGCTTCACCTACAAGCTGCCCTGCATCATTATTACTGGATATCTGTGTTTCCTATAATCATTTAATGTATAAGTGCAATTTTAATAGTAAAGGATTAAATGTAACACAACCTTTTATCATTGTCCTATATTGCTTACTGTCTGACTGTTTAAATAGCTCCTTATGTCTATTTTCTTTTTTAGTGGCATCATCTACAAACACAACACTAAGCATGAGCGTAAGTTTATAGAATTATAAAATCCCTTTTAACAATTATAAAAGAAAATATAACACTATCTTATCTGTAATTTAATAATATCCAAAATAAACAGTCAGATTCAAGCATTTTTACCAGACATTAATGTTTGTACTAATTTACTTAAATACTGTGTGGAAATCTATGTAAGATCAAATCAATGTTAATATTCTTCCTCTGTTTGTTCTTGTCTTTATCCTATTTCTAGAAGTATAAATAGTCAATAAAATAGAACTATTATTATGTGGAACCCTAATTATGCTTTTTAAACGAAAAACAGCAGATGTTTAGGCCCCATTTCTTGTTGTTATAGGCTACTCTATAAAAGAAATAACACCTGCTAATAATTATACCTGAAAGAGTCATCAAAAAATGAAAACAGTAATAGCAACTAAATATCGGTAAAAAGGAAACACTCACTTTTTCTTTTTTAGTTGGCTGTGGCTAAGAATCAGAAATGTTGATGGCTTACAGCCTTTATTTGCCCATTTTTCCAACAGTCTTCAGAACAGACTCAGAATATTTCGTTTTAAAAAAGAAAAAAAAGATTTTGGTTTTTTAGTGCACATGATATTCACATGATATTTTTTTTTTTTGGGGGGGACTAGTTTTGCAGCCTAATATTAATTG